AGTTCACAGTGCAGGGAGGAAGTCTGGAACTAGCAAATGTGAAATCAAGGCGGGATCAGATATAACCATTGGTATCTATGCCCTCTGATGGCTTGCACTGGCAGAGACATTGGTCCGAACGACCCTTGTGAATCCTTCCACCTCTGAAATTCGACAATACAGTGGTGCTTCGCTTGACAATGTTAATTCGTTCCAGCGAAATTGCTGTAGAGCGAAAACATCATAAAGCGAAAATAAAAAACCCATTGAAACGCATTAAAACCCGGTTAATGCGTTCCAATGGACTAAAAACTCACAGTCCAGCGAAAATCCTCCATATAGCGGCCATTTTCGGTGCCTATATAGTGAGGAATCCGTCCTAGAAAACAGTGAGGGGCCATTTTGAAAGCCGGCGGCTATTTTGAAAGCCGACGATCAGCTGTTCGCTGATCGTCGTAATGCGAAAAATCAGTTCCCAAAACAGGGGACCTATCAACGTGAAGCGAAAAAACCCAATCTAAACATCGTTTTGCAATCAGTTTTGCGATTGCAAAAACTTCAACGTTAAGCGGATTCGTAGTTATGCGGGGCAATTGTCCAGCGGGGCATGACTGTACTGGTTTAATGTGTGGATTGGAATGGAGGTGTGCTCTGGATCTTGTACTGCTTTTATGTTGTCGTACATCACTGCTGGCTAGGGAATGGGATGTCCACATTTTTATTTATTGCAGATACCTAAATTCTTCATGCCAAGATTTCTACTAACCTTACAGATACTTTAGAAACATCTAAATGAGGCTCACATGGGAGAAAGTCTTTGGGGCTGAATTAGCTTGACCTAGCTCCACCCACGTTTCCTTTTCCTGCCCAGATGTTGGGCGGAGCTTTCTGAGCAGGAAGTTAGGCAGAGCTAGGCCTAGCTAAGTCTTAGAGCCTTCCTGGTTAGGCCTTTTTCCCCAGGTGAGCCACAATTAAACATTTACAGTGGTGCCTCGCCAGGCAGTTACCCTGCATGACATTGACTTTTTGCGATCCCGCTATAGCGATTCGCAAAACAGTGATTCCTATGGGGGAATTTCGCTGGACAATGTTTGGTCCCTGCTTCGCAAACCAATTTTCGCTAGGCAATGATTTTGACCGGTCCCTCCATGCTCACAAAACGGGTGTTTTCGGGACCTAAGCTTCGCAAAACAGCTATTTAAACAGCTGATCGGCGATTCGCAAAGCGGCTTTCCTATGGCATCTGTTCGCTAGGCAACGACGATTCTTCCCCATTGGAATGCATGAAACAGGTTTCAGTGCATTCCAATGGGGAAATGCTTTTCGGTAGACGATGATTTCGCTAAACAGCGATTTCAGTGGAAAGGATTGTCATTGTCTAGCGAGGCACCACTGTATAAGGTATCTGTAAGGGAGGTAGAACTCCCAGAATGGAGAATTGGGGTATCCATAGTCCAGAAAAATCTGAAAATCCCACCCTAGTGCTGGCCCATTGTCCTCACTGGGCTTTTGCTACCTAAAGGTCCGTGGGAGATGCTGCCTACATTTCGGCTTATGTGATGAGCAAACTAAATTTTACCCCAAGTTTGCTGCTATGGGATTTGTAACATTTACGTGCACCTCTCTGTGTATCCAGCCCAGAAGAAACCATGGGTTCTGATAGAAGGCAGTCAAGTTGCTAAGTGACCCTCAGCTCTGCGTCTAGCAAGTTTAGGAAGACTATTCCAATCCACGTCAGCAGCGGTGGAATCTGAAACCTCTGAGCTAATTCTCCCCTCCCATTTTGGGAATTTGCTTTCGGCAAATAAACCTGCAACTTGCCCATCAGGTTGCGGATTTTGGACCTTCCGTGTTTCTACTCCACCAAGCCGTGCCGCGGTAACATCCAGCCCCGATGAAGACTCCTGCTGAGTCGGAAAGCTAGCATCTGTTTGTGAGATTCCAGTGTTCTAATACACCCAACCTTTGTCCTCAAAAATGGTGTCGCAAGACCGCGTGGCTGTTTTCTTTCATTTAGGAGTGGAGAGCCTAGAAGGCTTGTTGTGAATTTTTTTCGATTTTTGCAAAACAGTCACATATTCTGTGTAGCAATTGGAATAAGTAATTTGAGATTGCTTAACAGGAAAGGATTGTGTGTCTTTTTTTTTTTTAAGAGTTTTGCCCCTGGCATTCTTATCAGCAAGAAATTGGTCAGTCTACCCTTCCCCTTGGCCGCCGTCACCCGAAATCTCTCACAACTGGAATTTCAACCACGGCATTCTTTTAAAGTGCTTTTACCATTGGAGCGATGTCATAACCTTGGCCGCGCGCTCTTTGCAAGCCTGGCGCGCAAAAGGTATGGAAAATGGACTCGCCGGCTGTAACGTCCACCATAACTGTCCGTACTTTACGGCATGTTTTCTGATGGCGTGGCTGGTTACGGCCAGACGGAACTGCTGATGGAGACGAAATGGAGCAGGCCCAGACATTTCCTTGAAGGAAACTGCAGAGGGCTTGTTTTGATTTGATTTCGCTTTGTTTTGTTTTCGTTGTGTTGGGGGGGGGAAGAGTGCCTTTGGCACGATGGATGGAATTTAGAAACCAGGAATCTACCCGGCCTGAGGCGCCGCGTGTAATTTGAAAACACTTAAAAACTCAGGGCTGGTCTTGCTTGGCTCCTGGAAAATACCTAGAAGCGCTCAAAAGTGGCAATCGTGGTGAATTTTCCTATCACTTCTCACTGAATGAATACAGGTTATGCCTCCCAAACAGGAAAAAAATGCTGTTGGATCAGTTCGCAAATAGAAAAACAATAGATTTTTAAAAAATCCTGATTGATCAAAACTATGGAGTTTATCATCAGAATAAATCATCGTCATCTTAGAAGGGCAGAGCGGGAAGGGACCCTGTGGATCATCTAGTCCAGCCCCTATCAAGGAGGCACAGCGGGGAATCGAACTGGCAACACCTCTGGCTCTGCAGCAAAAAGGCCTAACCCACTGAGCTATCCAGTGAATGTATTGTTAATTAAAGGTAAAGGTTCCCCTTGACATTTAGTCCTGTCGTGTCCGACTCTAGGGTGTGCGGTGCTCATCCCCGTCTCCAAGCCGTAGAGCTAGCGCTTGTGCGTAGATAGTTTCCGTGGTCACGTGGCCAGCGTGACTAGACAGACACAGAACGCCGTGACCTTCCCACCATGGTGATACTTATTTATCTGCTCACATTTAGATGCTTTCGAACGGCTAGTTTGGCAGGAGCTGGGACGAGCGACGGGAGCTCACTCCGTCGCGTGGATTCGATCTTATGACTGCTTGGTCTTCTGACCTTGCAGCACAGGGGCTTCTGTGGTTTAAACCCGCAGAGCCACCACGTCCCCCTGCTATTGTTATTTTTATTTACAGTATTTCCCCCCACCTTGTGTAATTTCCTTCAGAAGGACCCAAGGTGGCTTGTATCATTAAAAGACAGTGTTTAAGTCGATTGAGAATTGGGATCTAAATCTGAACACATAGGAGGGGGAAGAGTTGAGGTATTAAACACAACGATAAAAATCTGACCCAGTCCAGGGGTTGTCTGTTTAGGCTAAAAGGAAAAAAGAGTTGATAGGTTGTGAGCATTCACAAAATGGAGATAGGCCATGAATGGTGAATTCCTCAGGGGTGCAACCTGACAGCACCACACCTCGAGGGGCCTTCTCCCACATTTGTAGCCTCCCATTTTGGATTGTAATTCAGTGTGGTTCCCGTCGCTATAACATCTGGACGGGGGTGAAGGTTGAAGTGTTCTGTTTCTTGAATAGAAATCAAGACCGAATACCTGAAAGAACAGGTGTTGTCTGGCATTTACATGTTACTAACAAAGGATGTACGTGTGGGTGTGAAACCTGGGCAGTGAAGAAAGCTGAGCGGGGTGGAGGGGGCGGAGAAATGGATCCATTTGAAATATGGTGCTGGAGGAGAGCTTTGCCAATACCTTGAACTGCCAAAGAAACAAATCAAGCCTGAACTCTCTCCAGAGGCAAAAATGATGAAACTGAGGCTCTCCTACTTTGGGCACATCCTGAGAAGGGAGGATTCTCTGGAAAAGACAATGATTTCTAGGAAAGGTTAGAGGCAGCAGGAAAAGAGGAACGCGAAATACGAGATGGGCTGACTCCCTCAAAGAAACCACAAGCTTGAGTTTTCAAGAGCTGAGCAAGGGCTGTTGAGGGCGGGACATTTTTGGAACATGCTTGTAGATGGTCTAGGGCAACGTGACAGCCCGTAGCAACAAACCACAAGTGATACCAAGATGGGTCTATCTGGTGAGATGACTTCTTACCAGAAGTGTGCTCTAGAATGCTGTGTCTCTGACAGGCAACTGTCACACCCTTGTGGGCACCAACATCTGAAGAAGACCTCTATGGAGGACCTTCCTCATGGGCCATGCACTTGATAATGGCACAGTTCTGGGATATGGGACGGGCGCCTCATTGGCTAGACTGGCCTTCCATCGTTTAGGGCTTGAAAGAATAGCAGCCAAGCTTCCAGTTGGTCCTGGAAGCTGGCTCGTGCCTGCCACATCGAAAAACAACCCAACAGAGTGGTGTTTTCCAACCGAGAGGCAGATTGACGCTTCTTTCAGGATTATTTTCAAACAGCTCTCTCGTTGCTTATGGGGCCGTCGCACGGAGGAGAGCTTCGTATCCCACGAACAAGCGGTTTCCTTCCTTAGAAGCTTTGTTAGTGATGCTCAGTGTGGTTTATGAAATGTTTTGCTTTCTGGGAGACAAGCGGTTGATGGCGCACAGAGGAAATCTACAAACATGCACGTCAATGTCGTTCTCACTGTGCTGCCACTTTAGAGCTGGCATCCACTTGCTCCTGTTTGCAGTGGTTAATCTCCGATCCTTGTCTTTTATGCCTGTGAACAGGCAGGCATTGTGAACACAATCCTTCCTTGCGGACAAAGTTCTGTTCCCCGGCCAGTGTACCAAGCAAGGGTTTTTATGTCTACAGATCGTTGATTCCTTTCTCTCTCTCTCTCTCTCTGTCTTTCTTCAGGTGTACTTTGCGATTCCCTAGCACGGTCATCAAGATTCAGTTCACGTCGCTCTACCGTAGAGAGGAAGTGAACGAGGAAGCATCATCGCCTCCACTTCGGCCCCTCTATCCTCGGATCTCGCCCCTTAAGATACACATCCCGGAGCCGGATCTCCGGAGCTTGGTCAGTCCCCTGCCTTCCCCCACTGGCACCATCAGGTAAAGGATCTGTGGGTAACCTGTCTGTATCTGTCATTGCTGTTTCCAGAACAGAGCAAAACAAACACACCATCATATTTCGATCTGTCATTCAGTGGGCATATTTGCACACCATGATAAGCCATGGTTAACCATGCATTAACCATAGTCGGGGCATGCATAAGCCCCGAATTGCATTAACCATGGTTGGAGCATGCATAAGCCCTGAATTGCATTAACCATGGTTGGGGCGTGCATAAGCCCTGAATTGGATTAACCATGGTTGGGTCATGCATAAGCCATAAATTGCACGGCAGGCAGCCCAACAAACCATTAATGATCATCCCCATTTCTCCTTCTCACCCAACCCTCTTTGCTGTCTCAGTATGAGCAAGTGGGTTGAGAATCCAGCATCAAGCCATAGGATTCAGTTGTCACAACAAGCCATGGTTTAAGCCAATGGTTCTCTGTCTTCCACATGTTCCATCCCACCAACCGCTCTTTTAGAAAATCAGAATTCCTATTATGAAACGAAACCCACTTGCCTTTGGCTTTTTATGTTTACAATATACGGTATGTCCTTTATATTAAGTTGATGATGCGGGGTAATGTGAAATCAAGATACCATATACAATGGTGCCCCGCATAGTGACGATAATCAGTGCAGCAAAAATCGCTGCAAAGCGATTTCGTCGCTATGCGAAAATAAAAAGCCCATAGGAATGCATTGAAACCCCTTCAATGTGTTCCTATGGGCTTAAAACTCACCTTTAAGCAAAAATCTTCCATACGGCTGCCATTTTAACTGCCCACTAAGCAAGGTATCCGGGTGAAAACACAGCAGGCGGCCATTTTTTTTAACCCGGCGGCCATTTTGGAACCGCCAATCAGCTCTTGGAAAATCATCGCTATGCGATGATTGGTATGTGAAACAGGGTACTGATCATCGCAAAGCAATTTTTTCCCATTAAAAACATTGCAATGTGATCGCAAAAACAATCGCAAAAAGTTGGTCGCTATGCAGATTCGTCATTAAATGGGGTGCCCGTTAAACGAGGCACCACTGTACAGTGGACCCTCTACTTACGGAATTAATCTGTATTGGAACGGTGGCTGCAAGTCGAAAAGTCTGTAGGTTGAATCTCCATTGACCTACAATGCATTAAAAACCAATTAATCCCATAACTGCCAGTTTTTATTCTATTTTTGTTCCATTTTGGGTTTTTTATGGTCTGTAGGTCTATGCTCTGGCTGCAAGTCGAATCTAAATTTTGCGGCCAGAGAAGTCTGTAACTCGAAAAGTCTAAGTCGAGCTGTCTGTAAGTCAAGGGTCCACTGTACCACTTTACAGTCGCTTACTGGCATGCTGAAAGCTTACAGATGGAAGAGTGTTAGTAAAGTTGGCAGAAGGAGGCACCTTACACTTCCAGAAGGATAAGTAGATAGATGGAAAAGTGAATCCTTAGCCATTCTGAGGATGTTACCCCGCATGGATTCTTTTGGGGGTCCCCACCAGTGTTATGTCTGCCACTGAGCCACTGGTTTAAATAGGTTAAGCCCAACCAAAATATTCGAATTACAACCTGTGGCAAACCATTGCATGTTTGCAGAGCCTGGGGCGTACCCGCCACATCAAACCAGATTTCTAGAAACCACGCCTGTGGCTTCTCATGTTGTGTGGATGCAGGAAGTGTGTTTTGATGCATGGTGCCAGCAGAATGCTTGTCCTCAGGCTGGCAATGGAGGGGGGGGACGGTACAAAGTGCCGGCATGTATTAAATGTGCTTAAGGAGGGGAATGGGGAAGGTGCAGACCTAATTCCTAGCCTGCCATGCCTCCCTCCTTTCTCATGGTTTTCGGGGTGGGATGCTCCCCGGTCTTGCAGCCGTTTCCCCCATGAGCATAACATTTAATTTCACTCCTTCATTCATTCCTCATGAGAGTGAATAACAACCATGTGTTTAGATTGGGGGGGGGGAGTAAATGTGTGTGTGTGTGTGTGTGTGTGTATGTGTGTTTTGCTGTTAATGATTGAACTTGCACTGCTGAACCCAACCTCTTGGCTGCTGCATCTCATTTGCCGTTTGCCTGCAGAAATTAACGAGGCCCATCACAGATCGTTACTCTGCCTTTACCCTCTGGTTTTATTTTTAATGTCACATAGTCACAGCTTCATTTCTTTGCCTGTTTTCTCAACCAGGCCCTCCCTTACATGGAAGAGTCGTATTGTGGTTGGAATACACAGATTTTATGTGGAGAGGTTTGCCTCTAAATCACACTATGTATTAAACACTGCTTTTTAGTTGTTTATCCCAGGATCACTGCGAGGTGGGATTTAGTAGCCTTGGCGGGTGATCTGTCTGCCAGTGAAATATATATCTATATTTTTTTCTTGTATAGTGTGGTAAGATTGTTCAAACTGGGCTGGAGGGATCCGAGTTCAGATGTTACCGCAATGCATAAATGAAGTCTTATGCAGCACTTTCCGCTGGGAGGGAGGGTTTAACTTGGCATGGGATTTCTCTGTTTTGAAAAATAGTATTTCGGGACGGATAAGACAGTGGCGAACCCCTGAACGGGTCCGCTCGAAAACAGCAGCAAAAAGCCCCTTTAAAGACGTGGCGGGAAAAGTAACGTTGGGAGAGGCGAAGAGGTCTCCGGCGGGACTTGAACCTTATCATTGTGGCCCCGTCTTTGCAGAACGGGCTCCTGCTTGAGATTTGTCAGGCCTCCTCCATTCCTTTAATAAGATGCTGAAGACCAAACTTTTCAAGGAAGTATTTAAAGACATCGTAGCTGCGGGATTCAGATTCACCCTCTACCACCATGATCTGGTTTGGGAGTATTTGTTGAGCTCTTAATTTTTAATTTTTATTTACGAGTGTCCTTTATTAAGGGGCGTTTCTTTTGATTTTTGTGGTTGGTTCGGGGTAGTTTTATATTTCCTATATTCATGAAGGCTTTCACAGCTGGGATCCGATGGTTGTTGTAGGTTTTTCGAGCTGTCTGGCCGTGTTCTGGAGGTGTTTCTTCCTAACGTTTTGCCAGTCTCTGTGCCCGGCATCTTCAGAGGACAGGAGTCAGAACTCTGTCTGTTCTCTGTTGCTGTTTGTGGGATATTTTGTGGGTCTGTCCCACAAACTGCACCCGAGCACATACAGTTTATATTTACTTGTTTAACCACCTGGAGTATTGCATGTTATTAAGTCGGGCAGTGTGAAAATGACTGAATAAATAAACATAGTTTATCCCCTTTGCCCCACAAACGTGCATTACATACATCCATTATGATGAATTTTTCCTCCTGTTCCATTGTGTGGCTATTGAAATGCCGTCTCCAGCATCTTGTGGTTGCCTGGATGGGCATATTGGACCACTGGTATATAAGGCCACTTCTGATGTTTACTCTGCCCCTGGTTTAGCAGGTGGGTTTGAATTATGCAGAAACCGAAAGTGGAAGGTGCTTATTATTCTTTCAGAGGTTGTGCACA